TGTACCAGTGGTTACTGGAAGGCAGGTATGAACCAGAGAAAGTACATGTGTAGTACATATATACTGAGTAAGAACCACAAACTAGAAGAATTACAATTGAAACATCTGCGAGAGAGAGAGAGACAGAGAGAGAGAGAGAGAGAGAGAGAGAGAGGAAAGAAAAAATATCTGAGCTGAGGTGATCACCTTGTACACAAAACCACAGCTTTTTCAACTGCTCTACCCTGCTGTCAGAAGAAACACACTGAACGGTTACCCGATGCTCATTAGGCAGAAAATCCTCACAGAGGGGACTCGGAGCTCTAAATCTAACTTGATCCGCTCACACAGCCACGGATCCCAATAATGAAAGCGTTTGTTGGGACGATGACTAGGCCTGGCCTTACAGGCCTAACCCCCCTTGTGTTTTATTTAGTAAGGGTTGCCGGGAGAACAAGGGCGGCTAGTGTCTTGGTAAAGTGCATGTAGCCTGACCCTAGTGTTAGGTGATGTTGGCCATGGGCTGGTTTTGTAGGAAGTAATGAGGTAGAAAGAAAGTGTTATTTGTCCCAAAATTTGATGGTGATGATGTCTTCAAAGTTATAATGGCCTCAGTTGACACATGACATTGTGTATTTCACTGGAGTAATGAGATAGAAGGAAAGTCCATTTGTCAAAATTATGATATTGAGGATAGCTGATGTCTTCAAAGTAATAACGGTGGATCAGTTGACATGTGACATTGTGTATTTCACTTGAGTAATGAAGTAGTAAGGCTACGTTAATTAGTTTAATACGGCATTGGATTGTCAGGAACTTGAGGTTTTATTTCTGAACTTGTGTTGCCAACTAAAGCTTTTGTTGACATTTTTAAAGGCCATGTTTGATTTTTATTGAATCTAGTCTACTGTTCTTATCATTGGATTACAATTTTACAAGCTGAACACATTTTCTTGTATTTCAATAATTTGTTTCCTCCTATTTCAAGAAGGAAAATGAATATTGTAGATCTAGGCCTTTTAATATGGAAGTTCTTTGAATCAATGCTTTGAGCCACCATCTTCCTACTAAATTCTTGGAAGTGCAGATTAAAGTTTTACTTCTTCCAGATAATGCTTCCTCCGACATGCTTGGAAAATGAAATGTTAGCATTTTTTTTTATCTACCCATTATTTTATTTCCTCATACTCAGATGGAACTCTTATACAATGTAGTTATTTTTTTCTCCCTGGCTATTAGTATTTTTTTCAATGAATCTATTATAGCTTTATTGTGTCTTGATGCAAATAAAGTTCAGAAGTAAGAACATGTACATTATGTAGATGTACATGTAGGCCTACTAATCTGTTTGATATTTCTTTTCAACGCATGTGCATTGTTTGTAAAACCATGGTAAAACACAACTACATGTACAGTAGTTGTGACTAGATTAACATATATATATTAACATGTATGCTGTTGTACAAGATGACATGTTACTTTAATCAGTCAGGCAATTTCCTTGTGAAACTATGTTCTCATTAAGGGCTTCCCACTCTTCCTTCCTCTCTGCAAATTTGAATAATTCATAAGCATTATACCTATCAGGCATGTCAAGAAATTTACATTGAAAGAGCTGCACAGGAGCCTCAGAAAGGGTGTCTTGTGATGTTGTAGGTTGAAGTCTAGTCGAGTGACGTGTGGCGAAGATACAGGTACATGTATACATACAGTAGCAGTGCTTGACTACATTGTGCATGTACATGTACATCTGTACATTTGGAGGTGCCATTACTCTAGCACTTCAGGACCCAGGTGTTTTTTGTTTACGTGTTTGTACACAAGTAGATTGCAATTTACAATTTTTTGTAAACAAAACTCTCGGCTTCCACAATGTTGCTGGTACAGGGTTGTTTTTTGCCTGAGCTGTAAACACCAGGTGTCGTTTTCAATGATAATCATTCTCTTCAAACGAGGTAAAATATTATCTGTTTTTTGTAATCCTATTCTGATATTGTTTATGACATTTATATTTATAGGCCTATATCGAGGGCATGCATGTACTGTATGTCCTTCAGCAAAGCATTTTATGTACATTGCTTCTCCCCACCCAGGTGTTAAATGGGTACTTGATAGGATGTAAACATCAATGTACAGTGTAGTTGGATTAAACATGTCACCTGACTGGTGGCTTCTGCTTCCCAATGGAGTGGAGAGTGCAGGATACATTGTAGTATGAAAGGGGTAGTAATAATGACATTTAAAGCGCACAGAGGAAGAGTGTTATTAAAGTGTTATGTGATGAGTGATGACTATTGTCATTACAAAAAATTAGCATACAATGTATGGAAAATAATGTATGAATACTCTGTAATCTCCATTGATTTATGCAGTTTTATTACTGTCATTGTTGAATATAATTCTGTTGGATGTTTTGTACAGTGTAGTTGTAGGCCCTGCATGTGAAATGAAATTAATAGAATTCAACTGTAGGATTACAATGATAAAGATACTGTACTGTACATGTTATTTACCAGGGACTTTGGGAGTCCATTATCTAGATCCAGACCTTTTTCTGAATTGACAGGCGGTCTGGGAGCCATGTTATCAAAGCACTTTAACGAAAAACATCCGATGCCATCAAGATGATCAGTCTGTTAGATCTCTCTCAATCTCCCTTAGTCCCTCATACATTAATAGCTGAATGGAATACTTCTCATGAACGATGTAATCTCACTTCCTAGTCCGAAACCCGGGGCTCAATCCTGGCGCCAACGCGGAATGGCTACATTAACATGCCTGCGATGCCAGAGAAGTCCACTTGGCGTAAACATCTTCGGACTTACAGTAAACAATTCTTGTTTTGACTAGCCATGCAATTGTAATGATCAATTAGAGCTGTTCTGTCATTGCCTTCTAAATGGACGATCTTGTCTATTTTAATTGATTGATAGCCTTTTACAGTTGTATGAATAAATAGCCATAACTCAGTTCGGAGCCATTTAATTCTATAAATAATCTATGACTCTGTGTGATAAATTGTACTTTTGATTATTTTGAAAGCTAAATGTGGGTTGTACTTGATGCTGGGAGGTGTCATTTTGGTACAGATGTTAGGATTTAATTGTTTGTAATGGCTCATGATGAAATATGTAGGGCCTACACTTCCAGGAGAGTATTCCTGTTTTTTAATGAGATTTATATTGTGGGGGATATTGCATTGAAGAAAAAAAAATGAAATTTGAAGAAAAACAGAGTTTTATTTTTTAAAACTAAATGATATCTATTCTAATCTATTCTAAATCAGCTAAATTATTTCTGTGTAAGCCTGTACACTCTACACAGTATACCTCTTTTATATTAAACTTATGATTCTAGCACATTATTTATCAGAAAATGACTCCATTCTGAACTCTTGTACTTTTGGGAGTATAGAGACAGGGCTAGCAGCAGCTTTTATAGCTCTGCGTGGCGGCAATAGTCAATGGTCACATTAACATACCAGCAATACTCATCTGTCGGCTTCCTGTAAACATCATGGGCTTGGCAAGTGTAATTGCCATGTCACTGGCCTTCTTTTGCCCCTTGCAATTAATCCCTGGTAATTGAATTCATAGGGACTGACTGTACAGTATGTAATTCATTTTACTCTGTTTGAAGTTTCATGTTGATACCAGGGGGGTGTTTAACAAAGATCTTAAGTTGAACTTATCTCTAAGTTGGACTTAACAATTATTTGAAAAGGCATAAAATGATGATTCAAATTATTGAAATCATTCATATTTTCTATTACCAAGGAGATTCCATGTTCTTGATGTGGAATTTTATGAAAAGTCTAAAATACTCTAATTTTTGCTTTTGAATGTATATTATTTTAAGGCTACAAATGGCTCTCCAGTCTCCATAATATTTAAGTCCAACTTAGAGTTAAGTTGGACTTATCATTTTGGTGAAACACCCCCCTGGATCTAATACTGCTGGTCCAGGGTCGACAAAATCGTCAAAAAAAAATAGTGGTTCATTCATTTGACTGTCTGTCAATCCGAGGGTTGAGGGTTTGAGTCCCAGTCCAAGACATTAATCCATGTTTGCCACCCTCCTTCCAGGTGTAAATGGGTACCTGGCAACTCTGGGGTAATAATAATTGTAGAGCCCTCAGGAAGAACAGCATTGATGCTCAAAAGGCTCTCCTGGGTACAAACAAAATTATTTTTATTTTTATCATCATTATTATCTACTACCCGTAGTACAGTAAAGATCTTTATTAAATCAATTTTTGTTTGTACGGGAGGATGGGTGAATTAGAAACGATATGATAAAGCAAGAAGGTATTTGGTTTGTTGTTCTACCCAAGGAGATGTCAGTTATCTGGTCTACCTTGTTCTGTGATGGTCAAGAATATTTGCGTTCAGTTCATCCTTGCCTATAGAAGTTCCACTCATTCCCAGTCGCTGGAAGAGGTGTGAATTGGTTTCTTTGTATGTTGTAATGCACTAGTATGGCAAGTAGGATTCAAGTGCACTGAGTACTTAATAGTACCTGTCAATTATCATTATTTGAACCCCAAATAGCTCTCTGATCACACAGTTAATCAATTGTCATAACTTCTATCTGTAGATGAAGTTCTGTTTATCTTTAGAACTGGCTTACAAAGAGGATGGCTCGCAAAGGAGCATCCTCGTCAAATTTACAATTGAAGTCAATAAGTGTTCTCTATCTCAAGTAGCGCCCCTGAACAAATGAAGTTGATGTTGTGTAAGAGGTCCTCAATTTCTTCTGGGTCAGCGACCCCGATATTGCCAATTTGAATGGAGTAGATTAGTGATTTCAATGGAATGATTATCTTCTGTGTAATTGAGAAAACCACACATGCATTGATTTTTCATTATTAGCAGACAGGTACCCTCCTGTAAGTTAGCCAAGCCTTGCAAGTTTGATGAACGAGGGAGGGAGGGAAGAAGGGGAGAAGATGAAAAGGATTATTTGTCCTGGTGATGCAATCGTTTGGTTTGGTTTGCTTGCTGAGGTGTTGGAAAATAAAGACACTCTTATCTGCCCTCTCAATTATTGAGGTTGCAGGATAAACAGTTTGGGAAGGAAAAGCTTCCATCAGTTGTTATCTCAGGCCTGGTAAGCTTAGCTATCTTACCTTGCCTGTTAGTTTATGCAGTTGGCACTCAGATAACGGAGCAGGATCATGTTTTCTTGATGTACATGTAACATAATTTGTGCTGGACTCCTGTACATGAATTTTCAATGTGTTCTTGCTGTACGTGAATGTTCAATGTGTACTTGTTATACACACACATGTACACTGTACATGGATGGGATTTGTTCATCATACATGTAGATCTTTCTGTGTAAGTATTTCTCACCCGTAATTGCAAAATATGATTTCATACTATGTGTGATTACTTTTGTGATACAATTGATTTTAAATTGTGTTGATAATAGTCACTTATTTAAGTTTGTCACTAGAAATTTTGTTTGAGCAAGCAAAGAAATAAAGGCCTACGTTGAAGAGCAAATTTCAACATTGTCACTTGTCATACTTTTGATTATTAAGATTATTGTTTATCTGCAGTGAAGTGCATGTAGGTCTGTGATTTGCATGAATTTATTTTTCACAATATTCTTCCACTTTAATGTCGGGGGGGAGGGGGGGGATGATAATCTAGTACACATGTTTTATAAGAAGGTTTAAAATCTTAAACAGCGGCGGAGTGTCTGAACAACTAATCAGATGAAGAATAATCTTAAATTATACACCAACAGCTGTCTATTATCTGTTAGGATCAGGAGGGTTAAAATGTTTCTAGTTCTGACATAAGCCATTGCAAGCAGATTCCAAGTCTCAGCATGAGACACTCAGCTCTGGTTGTGTTATCGCTCATCTTCTATTCACTCTCAGCCAGTTTGTGTTGGGGGACCCAGAGGAATCGATAAAGATCTTTTCAGGGAAGTTATTTACATTTCATGGACCAGGGTTTATCTCTGCAACATAAACTTTGTGAAATTCCCTGCTTTAGCTGCAATCTGCATACATGCCAGACAAGACAAGACGGAGTGGAATGTAAGAACACTCGAGTGAAGAATCCCTCTCTGCTGTCTATTATTCAGTCGACAAGAGGTGTTGCTTGTTATTGCCTACAGTAATTCAATTTTATGGTTACCTCAACTTGCTTTGGATATCACTTATCAGGAGTTTGTGCGTCGACTGTGAAATCCGAAATCGTAAGCCTTGTTGCTTCTTGCCTCTGGATGATTGTGTGTGGAATCATTGCATGAGCTGTACTTCTGGGAATATTTACAGATCACCTGAGAATTTACAAATCTTCTGACTCACAACTTGTTTGTTGCACAGACAGCACAGTGATTTTTGTCTATAGATGCCTCTGTGTTTTATTGTTGGGGCATAATCATTACAGTATATTTGAACATGTTTTAAGATCCCATCTTGAATTGTTGGGCCTATACTTTGATGTGTAAATGAAATTTCTAAAAGTGGATTGCAAGTATTACCGGGTACATAAAGATTACAATGTTTGGGCTACATGTTATTTCCAATGTGTACTGTACATATATGTAGGCCTACATGAGAGCTTGTTGATTCTTTTTCTTTCTTAAATCTGTAGTCTGTATGCATACAAGTAGGTTTTTGTACTGAATGCCTGCAGAGGGAAATAATCCATGGCTGTATGCTGGGAATTACAATGTAGTGAAGGCTATGCTATTATCAGAGTGAATTGAAAGAAACAACTATAACATCAGGTGCTTTTAATAGTGCATGTTTCTTTATAATAAAGTTCACATTGATATATATGTAGACCTACCAAATCATTGGGAATTTTAAAGAAATGTTCAGAATAAAGTAAAATAAACCATCAGCTTCTAGTTCTATCAGTGTCTCCAACATTGCACTCGGATGTTGATGTACATTCCTAATCCCTTGACTTGTGGAACAGCATCTAACATTTCTCTTGTTATGAAATGGCTTTTTCTGCCAGCATTATGAAACCTCACGCTATGCCACTACCATGACAATTGAAATTCTCATTGAGGCAAGGTTATTTAGTTAAGGAAGGATGGAACTAATGGCATTTGCCTCGAGCGAATCGTCTAATTATGCCGGTTCACATATCTGCATTTATGAATATTGCAAGTACTGCATGATAACAGAATGTAGAGGCGCGATTGAATAAGGGGTTGTGCTCCACTTTGTTTTATCACTACCACCAGGTACATGTAGTTCTAAGAATGTGGCAGTGGTGTTGCAGCTATGTAACTACATGTATATCTGAATGTATCATTTGTTATAAAATCGTCCTTGTTTTCACAAAGTGACGGTAGTGAGGAAAATCGTAACGCAAAGGGAATGCAATTTTTTTTTCACTACCGTCACTTCGTGAAAACAGCGACGAAATGTTGAGTGTTTGCCTGTTTGGTAATGATCATTCTGTACTTCTTATGTGGTTGCACACAGAAGAACTGAAACATAATGCAGACACAAGCCTATATTACATTTCAGTGATTTTGTTATTCTCGCACAGGCATAGATTAGAGAAGTGGATGCTCCAGCTCCTATTTAACGTTTCTCTTTGTGCTCTTTGAATGTCATTACTCATCTGTCATTTTCTTTTCTTTGTCTCCCTTTGTAATTTCACAGACCTAACAGAAAATGAGCTAAAGTTATTACTGGATATCCGGAGGGCAAAACAGCAGCTCCTCAAAGAAATCAAGGTATGCTCGTGACAGTCTTTTAATCTTTTGTTGTTTAGACATGTATGGAATAATTTTATTCTGTGTATGCACTACTACATGTAGTATACTCTGAAGTTCTATTTTTATGGTATACCCAAGTACTTCATCTTGTTGTTTTGTTGATTGGTTTGTAGAAATGGAAGCGAATCTGCTTTCCATAACAGCATCTCCAAATTTGGAATAGAGAATGGCACTCCTGGGGCCAATCCAAGACTGGAGTAATTCATTTATTGACTATCAGTGGAGAAGACAAGAATTCATATCAAATTACTCGCACTTCTTGTCTACGAAATCGGGCCTCCAGTCACTTTCGTCCATTAGACGGGGGACCAGATCGGGATAAGGGAAGGCACCAATGTGTCGACGGGCGATGGTCTCATTTTCCATTTCATGTTGGGGTTGAGTTCTACTCACAACATCTGCTGTATAATTTCAATGCTCCAGGGTGAATTGTATCTTATTGGATTGTATCTTCTGTCTTCTTTTTATCACAAAAAGAGAGGGAGAAAGATGACAAAAACTTCCAGAGAGAGGGAATGGTTAATGGGGAATGGGGAAAGCTTTGGGTGAAGCTTATACACAAGAGTCAACGGCATGAACCAAAGCATTGTCTAAATGACATTCTCGGTCGTGTTGCGAAATATTAATAATTCATCCCTGTCGGCAAGCGAAATCATTCATTCCAGCCTTTGTCTGATGGGGCAAAATGTTGATTAATCACTCAATTATTTTATTCACCCCTTGGTAGTACGCATCACTTGTTATACCTCTGTTAGTTTCATATTGCTTAAAGTGCCTAGCCTAGTCTGCAGGCACAGGCTATTTGACTGACAAAATTCCATAAGGCCTTGAGCAGAGCCTAACTAACTCTGGCTCTCTGGCGTAAATATTCACTTCTGAATGATAAACGCCTATAAACCAAAACAACAACAACAACAACAAAATCTCTGGATGTGTCTAAAGTCGAGAGCGTGTGGAGTGCAGTAGACTGTGGATACTGGATAGAGACAAGATAGTTGCACACTACGACTGACCAAGGTTTTGTATCTGCAAACTATTCTTAGGCTACTGAAGAAAAAAAAGGGGGATCCCTGAGGGGAGAAAGAGGAAGTTTTTGTGGACAAAGAATGCATTTGAGAAGGATGAATTCCCGTATTCCCAGATCCCATTGTGAGTTTGAGTGATTTCACGCTTTGATGTGCTCTTGATGAGCTGCAAGTGGAATGCTCCTGGCTGGTAGACGTTCTTCGCTTACCCCGCGTTCACACAACCAGAATTTGTTGTATCGCTGTCCAAGAATTGTATACATGTACATTGTACATTGTATGCTGTAGCTGTAATTAATTATGTTAAATTGTATCTAATTGTATCTAGTCTAAATGCGTACCAACAAAAATAAAAGAAAAGTGACATTTTAGCATTTGTTTTGGACAAAAAGATTCTCTCTCCCAGTCTAGTCTGAAGTCTGAACGTTGTATCAAATGGATATCATTATAACATTTCTTTTTTACACAATGTAGTTATCTGGTTAGTATGTCCTTTTTGTCAAATGACGATTCTTTATACATGTAATACAATGTTTCTTTAACCAAGTTTCATGGTCTGAACAAGCTACCTTTGATGATTACCCTCATGCCATTTCTGCCTCAAGACTTGTAAAAAATCATCCATAATGGAAGATTTATATTCCAAGAGGTTTCTCCCAAGTGCTTTCCAACAACCATCACATGACCAAAAGGGGAATGTACAGTATGGATTTCTGGAGCCTGGATATCTTTTATTATGCATTCAATCAACATACAATCCTTCATATATACACTATGAAGTCATGTGTTTGCTGTTTTATGATGCTTCACTCGATTGCCAAGCTTCTTAATATACTCTTTATAACTGAGGTTTTCGCAAACTTGAAGTTTATGATTATGATGGAAGCGCATGAACGTAGCTATTGTGATGTTGACCACATATCACACAATGTTGTAAGGATGATAAAGATTTGAATTGATCGCAACTTGAAATCGATCACAACAGTGTACTTTGGAGATAATTTGCGATTAATTTGAAGGACTTGATTCGATTCAGACCAATCCGAACTCTTTGAAAAACAGTGCCCTGGGCACAAGGACACTTTAGAGACCTTTGCAGGGCTTTCGGGTATGACTGTTATCTGTCTCAGGAAAGACATAGGAAGCGAAAGGAAACCAAATTGTGTCAAATGTCATTGGAGAGAAACCAGGAGGAAACGGAATGTAGGCATGTGACTTGGAAAAAAGAAATCACCACGATATATATATAATAAACGCTCCTTTCCCTTTCAGTCTGTTACAACAGTTTCCACAATTAAAAAGTTGTATGCAAGAACATCCTGTTTACATCTAAGTATGAAAAGTTAAAGGGAATTAAGATGTCTAACTTTGGTTCCTCTTTTTCTTCTTTCATGGAAATGCTATGTTTTCCCAACCTTGTTCAATTTTCTCCATACTTATGTCCTTCATAATTTTTTTATGTGAAGCTCTAGTCTAAAAGAACCACCAAAGTTTACAAATATTAATTGTTTAATTTCTTGGTTATCTGATGTTCAAGTTAAAATAGGTAAATATCCAAATAAAATGAAACAGAAGGAAATACACTTTTGTAAGTAATAACAGGAAAAAACATGATTTTACATTTTGATCCTTATCACCAAGTGAGTAACAGAAGAATTGCTACAAGAAATATGTCTCTTTGCTCTCTCAAATTATAATGGGCATGTAAATATAAAATGAAGTGACGATATTGCTTGTTATGAAGAAGAATTAGAAAGAATAGAAAGTTTTTAAAAAAGTTGTCAATATAAGCTTGTTGATGTGATGGACTTCATCTGTCAGGTACCAAATAAGGCATTGGTGGTAGTTCAAGATGTCATGGGAGGTTAGATCTCTGCAAGACCTCGGCTGATCCCAGCATCCTCGGAACAGACGAGGGCCTTCTTCAGGCTTCCGCTGTCTCCTCTCCCTGTCTCTTTCTCTCATTCTGTGTTTAATGTTTATGCATCAATTATGATCTCTGTCTGTTGTTTATTGATTTCTAGTGCTGACTCTTCCCCTCTATAGATTCATACAAATGTCTTTTCCATCCATAAAGTTTCATTTGCAAAGTAAACGCCACACCTTCTTTTGGCACATGCATGTAGTAAATGTACAAATGTACATTACATACTGTACAATCTACATTTTCAGGTACCTATGTGTACATATACAGTACATTTCACGTTATGCAAATATCTTTGACTTACTGCCATTCATTGATGCATGCTGCTAATATATTATTCTACAATTTTTTTTCCCTGGCTTTCCTGACATAATTCCTTTTTTCTTGTGTCTTTTCTGCTATTTTATCATTTAGTACATATTTATTTTTGATTTCTCCGCATTTCAGATAAAAGAAAATTGTCGTAGATTGCAATTGATTATGAAATCCATGTCGATGGACCATCACACGCATTTCTTCCTCTGGTGTCTCATTCTAAATTGTAAGTGAGTTGTCACTACCGTAGTTGCATTTCATTTCCAGCTCCATCCATGTTGATCCTTCTCCCCTTCTTCTCCCTTCTGTCCTGCGGCTCTTGGTCCTAATTGGACCACCTACAAGCTCTCCCTCCAACAGAGGGGGGTTCAGAGTCCAGTCAAGAACTAACCTTTGCGGTCTCGGGCGAACTGCAAGAAAAATTAGCCCAGAGTGATGGGCTTGTTAAGGAGTGGACATTGATGTTCTTGTCACGAATCCTGGCCAAACACGTACAGTACATGTAGATGTACATGTGGAGTCTTTCTATACGAAATTTTCTGTTTCCTTGGGTCCAGTACTGTCAATAATCACTACAATTTGGATCCAAGTTTATGTGCTATTTGGCTTGCCTTGCTCATGACGTCATGTCTTTCTTTCAGGCCTGATAATTACCTGAAAAATTTGTTCTCCTTAATTTTTTCCCCGATTTCCCACCCCCACATTTTTCCCTTAGTTTTTTCCCCGATTTGGCCCCTTTTCTCTTGATTTTTTCTAATTTTTTCCCTACTTCCTTTAATACTCAAAAGGGGGGCGGGGGAATGTTGTTAGATGCCAAGATTATATCAAGATTCTCTTCTGTGGTGCAGCCTGTGTTCCTTTTGACCTAGTACCTCCAAGAACGAGATAGGTCTAGGAACTGATGCAGTGATGATGTCTGTTATAATTACCGCTAGAAACCAGTGAGGGAAGAAGAAGCCGGTTTTCTGACCATGGTGCCGGGCCTAATTATGTGATTATTGTATTTGGACTGGAGCGGGGAGAGCTTAAATGAGCAAATTATTGGCCAGTCGGAAAGGACAGCGACTTGAGGAGGACAAAAAATGAGATAGTTATCCCCTCGTCTGAGTATCTTGGCATTGATCACTCGAGAGACAAATTTGATCAAGGAAGATGAATTGCTGTGGGTATTAATGACAATCTCGAAAGTTAATGCAATCGCAGAGTAATTATATTTGCTGTTGTAGATCATTTGTCAAATTGTTTGAATTGAATTTGAGAGTTGCGAAATATATCACGATTTCATTCAGGCATTGGGCTGTAGTTTATTGTGCCGGGAATCTATAACCCAGTAGAAAAGGGATGGGTTTGACATGTTTATTAAATGAAAGCTGTAAGTTTTAATTTGCATATTATGTGAACATTATATTATTGATAGAATGTGCAAGTAAGTTAAGTTGAAGTCATGGATTCTTGGAAGTTTATAAGAATGCTTTCAACAGTGGCTAGCCAAATACCTCACATACCTCACCATACATTTAAACTGAGACCCTTTTAGCTCCCTTTTGCTTCAACTTTCGAACAAGTCTATGTTTTAACTTTTTTTCGTATTGGTGGTGCTAAACGGGATGTGGAGTGGAATAAAGTTTACAAAATGCTTCCGAAACATTGAACAAGATGGCCTACAGCAGGAAACTGTGGTCATTGGTAGACCCACTCACAGGAAAAGCTATGGTGCTGACATTGCTCTGAAATATTTAGATGAGGTCCTATTTTGAGAGGTCCACCTACAACGCCTTCAGAAATTTAGTGTAGAAATTCCTTTACGCCCATTTCAAATGGTAGTAAACACTGTCGTGTGCCAAGTAAATGCAACAATCTGTTTACCAAAAGATCTGACAGTGATGAGAGTCAACCACAACATACTGTTTCTATAAATGGAGCCCAAACAACTCAAGTTATGATTGACATGGCTACCATTGTGTAGGGGGACAATCAGACCCTTTTTAGTCCAAAAGTGAAATTTAGGGGCAGAATTGGTCAAGGACCAATCCTGAAAAGATATTATGTTTCTTTTGAGTTAGGTGTCAAATTTATGATGTGGTATTTCCATTCATGTATTGGAATGGAAGCTGATGATTCGGGGGGGGGGGGGGGGGGGGATGGGATAGTGAATGGTTTATGGTTAGGAATAAATACTGCTCACTCTATGCTGGTGATGTTTGCCTTACTAATGAAATTGAAAGAAGCAAAATGATTTCAATATGCAAAGAAAACATTCTTTCTGTGTATCTTGGGTTTCCTTCGTCTCTTTAAAGATAAAGTTGAGTTCTGGTCATGTGATTGCATTGTGAAAGAAACGGTGTGGAAGCTATCAGAAAAGGTTGATCATCTAGTATATAAGTATTCGTGTGTATTGCAAGGTTCTGGAATCATCAAAATGATGAGACATTTTGCCAAAGCTTGGCAAAGTTACAAGGACTGTACACAGAATGATGTATATGGGACTACACGAGCACATGGCGAAAAAAACCTACCCCCCGATTTTTACGTATTTTATGTCATATTTAGAATATGAAGGCATTTAAAGAGCCATGCTTTTCAGGGAACATGTTTAATCTGATGTTCTTCCACCCTTGCATAATAACAATGATAACGCTCACAAATTATGTTTTACCTCTTCCCAGAACTCAACTTTCTCTTTAAAGTTTGAGTATCAATGCTATAAGGGACATTCCAGTCAACTTGTGGTCAAGAGTTGTGACCTTTGAGTATTACAGCCAAGAAGTAACATGCAATTTGTAGTGTGCATGTGTGTAAAATTACAAAGCAGTAAGGCGTCTGTTACCATCGAAATGCCATTTGTCACTGCTGGACCCCCAAGGGTAAAATATTTTCATATCTTGGTCAATATTTGTGCTACCAGATTGCGAGGGCTTTACGGTGCCAATGGATGGATGGATGGAAACAAAGTGCCCTTGTTTTAAGTCGAGCCCAGATTACCCTGTCTATGAAATATGATTAGCATACATATTTATAGTATGCTGGAGGTGATTACAAAAAAAAATTTCTACGAATAGAATGACATCCAGCAAAAAGTTTAAGGGGGGGGGGGTGAAAATATGACTGCCCCTAAACTCACCATAGATCCACTAAAAACATGGGGAAGAAATGTCAATGGGTAATGACATTGATAAGCTTGGTAGCTTGAATCAAAAGTTCAAAACTGACCATTGCAAAATTTGATTTCCTCAATAGTATAATTTGGAGATTTTCATGATTAATACTATTTAGTGCAAATAAAAACCTATGGATAGTCTACTAGAATATAAACCGGAAGCTGAGTTTAAGCTCGTTCTAAAATCTAGATTCACAAAGGAAACTAGGAAATGTTCCCTTTGTAAGAGAGTCGTAGATTTCACTCGGTATAGAGTTTTTAGGAATCATAAAAGTTCAAGCCATAGTGTTCATTAACAATAATGCCACTCAGCAGGAGTTGGAGATGGCTCCAGTTTAGAGTACTTTGTTAGAATGGTCATTATCTGTTTTTGTGAGATTTTTGTTGTGGTCCAGAAAAGTTTCCCAGCTCTTTTCTTGTCGGTGGGTCCGAATTGCTGACCCTGCACTGCCTGGTAAACTCTTCAGAGAGAATTGACTGCTAGATTGAGTACAGTCACCTATCTTTCAAAGTACAGTAGGATAGAGGTCTGTCTTCACTGTTTTATCAATGAATATGCCTACTATATTCGTTGGTGCAAAGTGGTGCACAACTGCTTGCCTGCCTTGTATGCAAACACTTTGCATACAGCTTACATGTGATGTTAGCTTTGCACGTGTGCTCTGATATAAATGAGTGTGATATCATATGTGGTCAACTATTGAGAGAGTTCACTTGAGAAGTAGGTTGGGTTCATTATTCGGCAGGGCTTTATCAAACAGAAAGATTAAAAATAGGCCTTCTTGAAAATTAAGGGAAGCCAAAATCAACACTTGTAGTTGTAGCCTTGTAGGCCTTTTATTGCAGCCTGGGTGCTAACATTTTTAATTCTACTAATTTACATTTCGATTTATTAATCTTAATTATAATAATAATAATAGTGAACATTTATAATGCGCCATGTCTGTCAAAAATGACACTCCTGGCGCAGTTGTGCGAAATGAATGAAAATGATAGACAAACTTTGAAATTACATGAGTATATTATGAGCTGTACATGTAGATCACTTTTTTTGTTTCATTGTTGGCTGTTGCAGATCTTGCTTTTACAATATAATTTAAGATACTGCACTAACAATTGCACATAAAGTATGACTGTGCCTTTGTGCATAATCCTGGTCGTCTCAACAAAGTATGTGGGGTTTATAAATAAACATGATAATGCCTCGAGGAATTCAAATACAATTATGAATCACCATTTTGAAACGCATGTATGAATGGTCTCCCCGAGTACACATGTCATCACAATCGTTTTTCAGTACGAACTGCAGAAAGAAAGATTGTATCGGCCATGTTCGGCAAACAGCTGTGGTTGTGGAAACAAACCTTCTTTTATATTTCTTTTGAAAAAACTTTTCCCCATCGCCACCCACTGTAGTGTAGTGTAGCAGATGTTAGACTCATCAGGACAGGCTCTTAATGAGGCAAAACTGGTGTTATTTTGTAGTGCTTCATTGAAACTGGTAACGCTCCGTGGAAAGGGTCATGAGGCATGCAAGGACATTTGTCGTCACTTTCTACAATTTGGGAAAGATGAAAACCGTGGATGTGTCTATTTCTAATACGCTGTCTAGTGTCTAGATATTTCATTCCTCGCTCTGATAATTTGGAAAGGGTAATCTTTAAAAGGGTAAAAGTGACATATCTTGAAAATAAACATGAATGTACTTTGAGTACATTGACCCTCACAAAAATTGTCTCTGTTGTTTGAAACTTTGAATCCCCCCCCCCCCCAAAAAAAAAGAGAATTGAAGACCAGGTTTACATGGAGAGCTTCAAATATACATGTTTTGTGGACTAAAATAAAAAATATGTATGTCTAGGCCTACATATACATTGTAATATCTGTAGTAATTCTAGGGTTAGAATTGACCTGAGCCACCATTTATTTCAAGTATTGCCTACTTACTGATTCCATGAATATCAAGTCAGATATGGCATTTGCAATAACCTTCACAGAAAGAAACCTTAGAAAGAAAATCTTATAGTACATATCTGTTGAGTGCCAGAAGGGCATCGACTCCTAGATACCTTTACACAGAGATAATACCCTTCTAACTCTCAACAGACAATGTATACTGAGCATACCGAAAAATCCAAAATCATAATTTCCTCTTCTCTTGCCGATTGAAATGAGCAAATAACGAGAATCCTCTCTGTTCACTCTGGTCCTGATTGGAGATGATGTGTGCATTATATTTCAATTTGTCTCAGTAAGAGATGTGGGTTACCGATATCACATGTCATTCCTTGTTGCACTGCTATCTGCACTTTAATGCCAAGGATTCTTTGTCCATAAATATTGATATGATCATAAAAGAATGTACCCATATGATTTTGCTGGTGTTTTTTTAGGAGATCAAGGATTCAAGGTGCTGTTTTTCATATCTTTGGTGTTTTTGTTTGAGTTTGTTTATGTAAAATTAAATGTATTGAGAAAAGTAAAGAATTGTGTTCATGAATTTATGTGTGTAAAAACATATCAAAGACATGTAGTCAGTGGGGCAGAGATTTTGTTTAAAATTCATTTGGAGTTATCCTCATGGGAGCTCATGCATGGAGTGGAGCAAATGAAAAAAATATCTACAATTCAGTCTTCTCCCAGGTCAAATATTTTGGGCATAGTTTCATGAAACTTATTTTCAAAATCATTTTTAGATTTTATAGCCAATCAAAGTACTACATTAATACATTTCCATTGCATCGATGTGATTAAGTTTTATGCCTTTCATTTGGCCTTGTCTCATTTCAAAATGTGCTGGTATAATTTAAGAATAATTGATGTTTTCTCTTTTTGAGGTAACTGGATAGGAATATTTATCATTTAATATCTGAATTCAATAGCTCACTGGTTCATTGTAATACAATCTGCTTGTTTTTCTTATTCTTTCAGGAACTGGAGGAAGAGATCGCCAATGTCAATGCAGACTTGGAGAGTATGGACTATGACAAAGGGTAAATTTCAGCTTAATTTAATTTAATTTAATTTAATTACTCATTATTCCTATGCATCATTGAGGTGTTCACACTTGTACATGCATTGCTTTTCAGTGGACCCTTCTGTTTCCAATATGTATTTCTACATTTGTTGTAAATGTTTGTAATTGATTTGTAATGTTTTGTTGGAAACATCAAAATTGAAATTGAAAATTAAATAAGAAAAAAAACAAAAAACAAACAATTCTTGCATAATTTTAGATTGATATTAAAGCTTGTAGGTCTACCTTCTCACTGCACAAATCAGTAGACAGTAATCTGGATTTTGTTATTAGTTTGTGTTAATATCCCATTAAATCTCATTACGAGGCGGGCTATACAAAGAACGAAATAATAAGGGGGACAATCTGTTTGAAGTGAAAAGGTAGACAAGTGCTCTATAAACAAATAAGATAACCCTTGTTGAAAGTAAATTGAAATCAGGGAATATAATAATACCCTGTAAAGTTTGGCTTCAAAGTAGTTTTTCTATCCCCACCCCCACATGGATCTCTACAAGAGATGTGCTCAGTCAGTTTACACATCACTATGAACATAACCGACAAAGAAAGCAGACAAAATATGCAGTTCCTCAGGTAGACAAAGGAACATCCCTTCACTGCTATTATGTGAAAATGTGTAGAACAGGTGTCACATGCATATTCACCTTTTTACATAATAGCAGTGAAGGGATGTTCCTTTGTCTACCCGAGGAACTGTATATTTTGTCCGCTTTCATTGTCTGTCATATTCATAGTGCATATTTCCCTCCTCTTTTGATGTTATCAATATTTACCTGTAAGTGCTTTTATTATTTCCTTTAGAACGGATGCAAAGACCAGACAGATGAACACTGGTAGAACCAGGTTCAATATGGATCCTAAAAAGGTAAGACTCTTTGCATCTATTATTTATTTATTTTGCCTTTTTTTTCTTCTCCATTTAGTGTCAATTCTGATTTTATCAAAACTCCATCATGACAATTTAGATTTTGAGGTGAACATGGTTTTTATTAACAGATGTTAATTGCTAGAGAAATTTTGGGATTGAAATTGTATGGAAATAAACTCATCCTACTTCCTGACTTAGAAGAAAATATCAGCTGCAAAACCTTGTTTCATATCAATTCACTATGGGGATACAGTAAACAATAAGCAAGGAATATTCAAGAAAACAATATCTAACTTCTTCCCAGGTAAGAAAACAAATCAGGAATTTAAAAAAAGTTGTCTGGCAGAAATTAATACATAGAGGGACAGAGGTATACAAATTTATTTTAGAAGAGAGATTATAAAAACTGTGCATTTAATTGAGGAGCTTAATTTATCTAAACTGCAGTGATTCATCAGAATCAGTAAATCTCCACCCTTCAGGGTCAGAGGACTAATTGCCATATTAGAAAGAACGAGCGAGGAACAAAGACATATGGATATGGAGGAATCACTGCAGGTCTAATTAACAGGGACGGATAAACATGAATCATGCAACGGTGTAACATCTTTCCTCTCAGAAAAAACAAAGTGAATTTGATTGAAAATGCTATGATTCACAGAAATCAATAAAGGCTACACCCTTCATCCCCAAACATCTTCCAGCCCGATTATATGGCTTCGCTCGCATTGGCCGAAGATTTTTCCGGCAACTCCTCCCTTTGGCCTGCCTGTCCTTGGGCATTGCTTTACCTAACCTTGATGAGGATTGGTCAGTGCACCCACATTTCAAGGAATTTGTTATGTTTGGGTACTTCCTGAGTCAATATTGGACTGGGGATCAGAGAAGTAATCCATTGTGAGGGCTGCCTGCTGTGAATGTACAGTATATCATTCCAGCTTTGATAATCACCACATAAACTCCTCCAGCTATGGAAGGAGCACTTATTGGCTAAATGTATAATTTGTGTGTGGTCAAACTGTTTTGCCATACACTACATGTACATGTAGGTCTGTCCTCACCAGCTTGAGTTTTCCAAATAGCTCGCTATTTTTGATTCGGGAAATTAGCCCAAAGTTACTGATCGCTTCTTCATCAGCTCGGAACTCGAAACTCGAGCAAATAGCACGCGTATTGTGTCTTCAACTGCCAAATAGTCCGCTATTTCGTGATCCGGCTAATTTCCAGAATAAGAAATAGCAGGCCATTTGGCAAACTCAAGCTCATGAAGACAGGTCCATGTACTGTTTTTCTCAGCTCTATTTGGAATCTACTTGTAATCATAATACTGTTATTTTCAATTTGATTATAAATGAGATCGGCACTTCCATAGGCATAAATTTGGTCCATATTTTACAAGCTGTTCAAAACTTGAGACAAAGTTTTCTGAGGATTGCTTGAGGAAAAGGAAATGTATCTCTTTAATTTTAATGACCCTGATTTTTCAGGCCAAACCTCATGTTTTTATTGACCCTCAAGGCTCAAGTACTCAAGTCTCAAGCATATTTTAGGTTATCATATCCCGTAGGCCGTAAACTTTTATCACGTTTCGCTCCTCTGTGGCAGCCTGAAGGTGACTTTCATTTTGAAACTGATACACTTTGAAACCAGAACATGATTGATAACTGTGATATCAATCTACCAGCAAATGAGGTTTTAAAACCTTGCTACATTTAAACCTAACCTGTAAATATGCATACTGGCAGACATGTGCTGTAAAACTTGCCCCAGCTATTCTCCATGATCTGTTTTTACATTTCCTATAAATTCTGGTTGTGATATCCTGCCTCTGAATGTTTTTTTTCCTTTCAAAATGTCACATCAAGGAAGGAAGATGACCCACAAAGATAAGATGACTTTGAACCAAAGAGAATCTTTTGATACACCATCTCGTACCGGTACTACATGTAGCTATCATAAACAAATTTATTCACATGCAACTATGCCATATGAACACACTTGGAATATGCTCAGATATGAATTATTTTTCATGGAATAAAGCTGACATTGTACATGTACATGTGCTGGTAGGGTATGCGCAACACTATATAGAGTCGTACATTTGTACAATTCTGTATTGGTGGCCTACGTGCCAGAAACCCCATACACTTGTATTTGTGCAATTATGACATATGACTACACTTGGAATATGCTCAGATATTGAATTGTTTTTCATGGAAAAAAGCAGACATTGTACATGTGCTGGTAGGGGTACATGTATGCGAAACACTCCACTCGAGTCATACATTTGTACAATTCTGTATCACGGTCCTACATGCCAGAAACCTCCACATACTTTTATTTTCTGTAACAATATTTTACTACTTTGCCAGCAGAGGGGAAGACAATCTCACCTTCCATACCACCCACTGTGTCAGAAGAATACATGATCCCCTCATGAATGCTAATTGGTTTTACTCAGGTACACATGAGTTGAGAAGTGACCCCCCCCCCCTTCCTAACGACTTCCTGCATGTTAACAAGGTCAAGGGGTGGGGAAGAAAACACTGTACAGGTTGTATGCTCTTTTCTATGAGTGTGAGCAGGGAGTTCTTTTGAGACATATGAAGTACTTCTGATTTTGAATATACACTGTAGGGAGGGTGAATTCTATTTCGACTGAATAAAATTTGTGCTGCCTGTTGACAAGGTTGTCTTCATCCTTTTTCCTGTGTGTCTCATTATTAAAAACTTCTCTGCTAAAATGTAGGCAAATTCTTTGTACATACTGTACAGGCCCTTATACACACTCAAAGCCAAATACATTTATAATTCACCCCCCAAATTTTGAAGTGTTTACATTTATAATTCAGTTATTTCCATGACCGAGTAAAATTTTTCAGTAGTAACTTACCTGCAGAAGTAGCCAACATTCATATAAAATGCAAGGTAACTGTATTTATTTTTTTCAATTTATAGTTGTTGACTCGAGCATTCAAGATCACACATTATGCTGGTATAGTACAGTACACCCTTTCATACCTGCTTGTAATGTAGATGAAGGATTTGATGCACAGTTGTGCTATCACTATCAGTCAGTGCCTGCAGTTATCTCTTCCTCCGAGTCCTAGTAGATATGAGTCATCCTTCAGGGCTAATTGGACACCCGTAACCCTCATCATATTCTTGACAGGATCTCACTTATAGCTTAGAAAGTAAATGCCCAGGAGTGGACCTGCTTGCTCAGGTGCTAGCGTTGATACTGTGTCTAGCTTACCGGTAGTAGCTTGTCTTGATTGAATCTCACGCTGTACATGCAAATATAAATGTTGTTTCATTCTTTATTTGTATAGCACCCAAGATTTTGATTGAGAAAGCCCAGATCATCTTTTGAGAGAGTCTGTTTTAACTCATTGACTACTGAATTTGTCATTCCTACAAGCACCCTGGACAAATGGGCACCCCCAAATATTAGTACACCCCCCCCCCCCCCCCAAAAAAAATATTAGTACACACACCCAAATTTTGAAAAATATACATAGGGCTCGTGCATACACATGCTTAAAGAGATCAATTCGAACCCCCTGGCCTTCCAAAAATAGTTAGAAAGTGTTGAGCCTTGCCATAGGTTTTAATGCAGTAGCCAACTCAGGTCCCATAAGCAATTGGTAAAAGGATATAGCTCCAATGTCCTTCTTGTTCTCAATGTACATAGAAATGAAACAAAACTGACATTGCCTCGTTATATACTTGAGGTTGATGGAGTGGTTAATATAAAGGGGTCTTCAATGATTTTGCTTATTTTTGTGACCTCTTTTTCAGAGAAATCTGAATCAGATTCAGCTTGTGTTGATAAAACACATGTTCCAAATTAATCTCAATCCATTGATTAAATCGGTCCCAGTTGTAACGGCTTCGTGACTCACCCCTCTTGTCCCAATCTAGTCTATACGGTCGACATGTTCTCAATTACTTGACTCTACATGTAATGCATTAACACATGACATTGCTCTGTAGACGCTGAGTGATGTTTCTATAACAGAGAATTACTGTCATTATAAATGATAACATACACCCCCTATGCATCCAGTGTATGTTTAGAAAAGAAATTGATTACAGGCATGTGTTGGACAGTGTGAGTGAGCTTGACTCGCATAAGTCACATGCTCAGTTTACATTGTACATCTGTAGGTATTTTGTAATGCGCTACATTGACTTGAGGAAACAAAATACGTCCCTGATCAATATGCAGTGTCAGTTTCATTACACGTTCTTGAATAGGGCCTGTACAGCCTTGTAGATATAAATAGACCCATTGGTTTCTTTATAAAGTGCTCAATGAAAAGTAATGTGAGCTATAGACTTGGTTCCTCTTCTCCGTGAATATGGGTCTAATCGAATGTTTCCAAGAACTGAACCAAATTGAAGGTTTATAAATTGGGGTATGATCATGAGGTTTTGAAAACTTATGAAACCTAAGAAGACAGTAGCAATTACTCTATGTTAGGCTTTACGTTACAAGTAGCTTACTTTCAGTTAAAGATTTTTGCTTCTGAAGTGGCTTTGTGAAATATTAACCCTCACTTATCACCCTGTTGACATGACAGGGCTTCATTTGGTTTCTTGTCCTCTGCAGAGGGCCAGAAGGGCCTAAACTCTGGTACATGTACGTGTGATGTGTTAATGCTGTACTTGCACTCAAATAGTGTGAGTGTTACAAAATGAAAGTGGTTTGGCACTTTGGTAGAAGAAAGACCATAGAAACCTGGGGCATGAGTCCTCAGGCTCATGACTGTTGTCAATTTGGCAGCTATGTCATGGCTTTGTGTGTTTGTGGAAGGTGGTGTTAAATGAAACCATGAAGGAATGACATACATGTGATCTGTATGTCATCCAGTATGAGGCATACAGCAGAACAGTCAGTGAATACAATGTAGTCTTTATGTTCAGGACAAGTGTAGGAGACATGCAGTTGTCGACACGCCACGTGCAGTAAAATCTCGTGATATCCCCCTTTATCCTCCAGAATGTTTGCATGCGCTTTGTCTGGAGCAGAGTGCTATTAAACAGAAGCCATTGTTGTAGGTCCTACATTTACAAAGTTTTGTAAAGAATCCGTTGACAGGGTCCCTTCCAATATATAAAGTTTGTTGTCACCCAATGCACTTTGCTTGTGATCTTGCCCAATTGAATTCCCAAGTTCCTTTCATCGCCTCCAATCACTATAGGCCTGTTTTCATCAGCTCGAGATTGCCTAATAGCCCGCTATTTCTGATTTGGGAATTAATCCCAAAGTTACAAATTGCATCTTCATCAGCTCGAGACTTGACCTTGAAACTTAAAACTCGAGTTTGAGAATTTTGCTCAGCGTTCGCGCATAGTGCTAGTCTTCGGGCTGGTGAAGAAGACGCACCGGACAAATAGCGGGATATTTAGCAAACTCTCCCAAGATATCTTGGGATGATTATCTCGACCAAATATCCCGCTAATTGCAACTTCGGGCTGATGAAAACGCAAATTAAATGGATAATTGCAATTGGGATAGTTCAAGTAGCGGCATATTTGGCAATCTCGAGCTGATGAGGACAGGCCTCTTGTCTCTTGTACAAATCTCCTGTGCATTGTCAGCAGAGCAAAGTGGGTGTCAGGAGTGGGATAATGTGATCCATTTTGTGTTGTCCAGGTGACTAATCCTTTGAAATTGACCAGTGGTCAGTTGGGTCAAGTGGTGACCATTGTATGTGTGGTCATCTTGGACTTTCTTGGAATCGGGGTTATAGAATTAGTAATGGAGAACTTGTAAACTAATCTAAATGGCAAATTACATCTTGCTTTTATATGAGAATCCGATTCTGAGCTAAATTCAAATTCTCAAAAGTAAAAATTGAGTGGTTTACTGGTTGTAGAGTGCACAAAATTTGTTTAAGTGATTGCTCAGTACATGTAGGTGCAGTAGGTCCACAAGCCTGATTGTGCATATTGTCTTGCCCCTCCTTTCCTCTCTTCAAATTGTTCTTATCCTCTTTTTATTTTTTATTTTTTATCCACTCCTTCACATTCTTAGTTTCTTTACAAAAAACCACAAACCTCACATAATTCAAATTCAGTTCTCTAAATGTTCTAATGTAAACAAATTTGAATAGAATTATCGAAAAAAGTTGTCCACAATGTTTGTTTAATTTGGCGGCAGGTGGCAGCGCATTCAATCGGTTTCTTGCCGGCTTCTCTAAAAAGAACCAGCCATCCAAGTCCTTGAAAATGTTAAGTGATTGTTAAATCATGCAAAACTCTATTGTAACAGAAAAAAGCATGCACTCTTTTATAGTTTTATTTAGTAAAGAAATACTTTTCAGAGTATTTATAGAGCAGTCTGCTTCTTTCATGGAGAGCAGACAAGGAAGTGATGGGATTTAATGTCAAATATAGAAACTTGGAAATAAAATAATGTATAATTTGTAAGCCATACAAAAGGAGAAGTGATTTAATAGCACCATCCATCTTCATGAAGATATGTGTTTATATGTCACATGTGTTAATGACAAATGAGCAATTGAAAGACCCAGGTTTGTTAATCTATCCCTGATTGTAATAACCAAGCTTTTTATATTAGGTGAAAGGAGCACTAAGTTTTAGTTTTCAAAACCTAAAGAGATACAGCTGACGTTTTAAAAAGAATCCTCAATCGAAGAAGGTGAATAATGAGCAGATAAGTTCCTACATGTACATTTATTTGACCTCTTTAAATTGTATTACTATTGTTCACCATGTCTTATTCTCTCATCATCTCCTTCATTTTGCAATTCAGCAAGGCTGATACTTTCTTGGAAGCTTTATATTTTGGTTTGGGACAAAGTGGAAAGATTGGATAGCGAGGATGGAATTGTGCAGTACCATATAGATACTATCTGTACATGCATTGTCTATAGATGTAGATGCAATCGATATCCACGTTTGTGAAAGTGAAATGACTGGCAGATTTATTTTAATGTCAAAATATATTTCGCAGAATCCTTCCTCACTTCCTTGACTCGTTTCCCCTGCCATAGTTTCATCTCTTTATTTTGTCGGCTCAAACTTCCTCATAGATTTTTTCAGCGATATGATTTGCTTGCAGTTGTTCTCTCACTCAATTCTCCCTGGTATGAGCAGCAAAATGTGCAAGTAGTTCAAAGTTTAGTATTATCAAATGATGAATTATTATCTTTATGTTGCCGATGCCTCGTGGCGAGTCCCCATAGACACTTTTTGTGAAGGGGAAGGGAACTTGCTACCTGCTTCGAGGGGTAATGTTAGGTTCCCTGGGATTGCTAGGTTCTAGAAATAGATGACATTAAAAAGGGGCCAGGTTTAAGCCACACCTGATGAAAGTGATTAGTAGTTTAGTTCATGTATTCAGACAGTGGTCGATATAACATTGTCAGGAGTCTCAGGACAAATGTAACAGGATTTTATGAATTATAGCCAGGAAACAGATCTGTAAAACAAAAGCCAGAACCTTTCATGACCTACGACTTTGAAGACCTACACCTTTCGTGAATTATGATAGGTCTATGGCAATAAACATTCATGAATTGCAAATGATTTGTTTTTCATCATTCTTTTGCAATTCTCTTTATTTCTAAGTTTTTTAGTTGTCGGATTATATTAGAAAAAGATATGTATAGTACATTTAATGATTCATAATGTGGAAATAAAATTTGATACTGCATTGTCTTTACTTTGTTAATAAAGCTAAGACAACCAACTCAAGAAGTAAAAGTTCATATGCTGGGAATGTCTTATTTTGAGTCGGAATAAAGAAAAATAAAACTGATTCATAATGCAACCAAACATGTTGCCCCTTTTATAAAAAATGTTGTAGGCCAACCTGAAATGCTTGAAATGAAAACAACTATTGTAGAATAAATTCTTACTCTGTGGGTCTGTGTGGAAAGACTATATGGGTCCCGCTGTGAATAGGGTCCAGAAGTTCAGGTTTATTTTGGTCTAACAATTCATTCCTTCAATTGTTACATGACGACTGTCAATCACTCTGTACAGGCACAGTCCCGGTAGCTGTTTGTTTTCTTTGATCACAAACTTATGATGTGAATGTTTGCAGACAATACTCTGTTGTTGAGCTGTACATTTGTAGCTTACCCTTTCCTATACTTTCTTATCTAAAGGTTTCCTATCTAGTGGGATGATACTTTCAGCGTGTCCACACACAAAACAATTTATCCCGAAACTCTATAACGAAACGTCGTATAAAGAATCATCGTATAAATTTCAGAGTGTCCACACACAAGAAACGTATGAATAATCATCGTATAAATTCCAGGATGTCCACACACACAAGAAAGTAATCCTGAAACTCTACAGCGAAATGTTGTATAGGTGCGCGGTTTGCTACTGCGGTCATGAAATGGAAGCGGAAATGAGAGGTCTGGTCTCCTTTCGCTCGAGGTCACGTTAAGCCCTGCCCAGTTAGTTACACTAGTTACACTCCCCCTGTCCACACACAACATTTTCCGTGATAAGGCGTGATTAGGCATGATTCTTTATTGAGTTTCAGTTCGAAACGATGCCCAAACCTGCATTTCGTTAGACTAGTTTCGTTATACGACGTATCGTTAGTGAGCGTCCACACACACAATTTTCATCGCAAAACTATCGCGAAACGGTATAGCTAATCATGCTCAATCACGGAAAATGTTGTGTGTGGACAGGGGGTTTGTTACAATTGTTGTTATGCTGGTGACCATATATTCTGTTCACTCTATTTTTCTGCCTTTTGGCTGCCTGTAGTACAGCGTTGGTTGAGGCCATGGTCCATGTTTACACCACCATTGTCAATTTTTTTAGCAAGAGTCTGAGAGCATTCATTTCTCCTTTGACACTGAGCTTCACTGGATCAAATTTGCATAGTTATCAATCACAACCAGAGATAGTTTCATCACTGTTAACGATAAGCAGTATTGTCTTCAGATTTTATTCGACCTACTTCCTTTTCCAAATGATTAAAAATAGATACCAAAATTCTAAGTGTACAGTCAGTTTGACACTTTTTTTGATTTTTTTGGTTGCGTTTTTGTTCAATCTTATTTTCACCTCAGAATATACTCACCACAGAGTATTTGATGAAAAAAATTACAAATTGATACAAAGTTATTTTTTTTGTGTGCATGTTATCTACCGGGTATATGATAGGGCATAGAGTATTTCATACAGATGGATAGGTTATTGATATTTTCATTTTCGTTGCATGCTGTACATGTATGTTATCTTTACCACAGGGCACAAAGTATTTGGCACATACTGATAGATTATTGATATTTTCATTTTCTTTGCATGCTCTTTGCTATCTTTACCCCGGGGCATGGAGTATTCAGTAAATATTGGTAGGTTATTGATTTTCATTTTCCTTTGCATTCTTTATCTTATCTTTACCACAGGGCATAGCTTATTTGATCGAGCACAACCTTCTGAAGGAGACGCAAGAGGAGGTCGCGCAGTTCCTCTACAAGGGAGAAGGTCTGAACAAAACGGCAATAGGAGACTACTTGGGAGAAAGGTTGGTTTATGTGACCCCCTCCCCCCTTCTTTCAGACAAGGAATTAAATTTAACTTTTTGTATTGAAAATTCAAGATATCAGTATGCTAGGCCTATATTTTAAAGGCATAGACCAGCTCTGGTCATGCGATTGCATTGGTGTGTACTGCAAGGTCCTGGAATCATCAAAATATTAAGAATTTTGGCCCAGTCTTGGTAAAGTAACAAGCCTTATACACAGAAAGATGTATATGGGACTACACGATATCTATCCAGGCCGGATCGAAATGGTAATTTACCAAATATATCAATTAGTAGGCGATTTTCCGGCAAAATTTGTATCATAACGTACATGTATTAGTCAAAACACATTCTTTCACATGATTGGTAATAAGAGCTTCCATTTCATTTTTTGAGAGGGTTGCATTTCCAAAATGGGACTATACCTGTAAGTAAACTAATGTTGAAGAATAGCTACACGTACAGACATAATAAAGCTTTTTGTCTGGCACTCAATCAGACTAAATCACAAGAAGGAGCAGAAAGATGGGACATTTATCTACTATTCAAAAAAAATTCTGCGCACAATTTCCCCGAATTTATTTGAGCTGTTTATGATGTTTGTAGCTCTTGGTCTGTGTTTCTAATAAAAATCACAGTTCACTTGTTCTTTTAGTGCTTTGTTAGTCAGTAGATTGCCCAAGCAGATCAGCACTTTAGCAGTACCTCGTTTCTTTTCAAGGTCCAAGCAAACTAGCAAATTTTTATCCTATTCAAACAGATGTGACCATGACTGAGCAAATAGAGCAATTTGTGCTGATCTGTTTTATTCATATACCAACAAAATAACAGACAAGTAGTTTGTGCATTTACAATAGAAATAGTGTATTAGTGTATGTCGCAAGTAAAGATTTATTCAGTTTATTGCCAAATTGGGTAAAGGTATCTTTGTAGCACATTTATTGAATGTTGGTTTACTTGCCTAAATTCTTCTCAAGTAGGGCAAGCATAGTTTAATTTTTCGTGGCCATTCAATGGATGTAAACAGCATTCTGATATCGTAATTGATTATCTTAAGGGTATTGGTTCATGTGCGTCATTCCGAAAACATACAAAATCAAAGATTTCATGAATGTTTGTATTGATATAGGAAAATTACAATCTATTCTTAGTCCTCAGAATGTTAACTGACACAAGTAGATCAATTGCGTTGATACAGTTTAAAACAAAGCTAAATTTGATAGGCGGATAGGTTAACGTCTGATTTCAGGATGATTTATAGTGAGTTTGGAGTGAAGGGTCAAACAGGTATATCAGTATGGACAAGCAAGGGTCAACCAACATGCTGGTAATATCAAATATGACTGACTTCCTGGTTCTTTGACTTGCTGATGACCGTGTCATTATTTTTTAATATTTTGGGTCGAATTTAATAGGTGGTGGCATAGCTAGTAGAGTCGAGGTAGTCATGTCTCCAGAAGTTGATGGGTCAAATTCATGGAGCACCAACATAGAGATTGTATGTTAGAGGGAACCTTTGAGCATGTATACACAGGCGTATCACAACTATCTCTCTAAAAAGGCTATGGATGTTGGGTCCCATACTTTTTGGTCGAATTGTGGTGGCATAGCTAGTAGAGTAGAGGGAGTCGTGTCACTAGAAGTCCTGCACGTTAATGGGTCAAATGAAAGCATGGGCTTATCACAACTATCTCTCTAAATATGCTATGGATGTTGGGTCCATGGTAGGGTAGACGAGAGGTCAGGTTCTAATGACCGTACATGTCAAACTACTCAGAGGTGTCAGCTGCATGAGACAGGTTTCTGGTCTGTCGGCAAACTCTTTGAAGAGTCATGACTGTTTCAGAGAAACATCTTAGGATGCGTGGGGGTAGGAAGAGTGGAACAGAAATAACGCTTCAGTTTATCTGTGTAAAATAGTTTGTTGAGGTATAGAGATGTAACCAATATGACCCCCCCCCCCCCCAAAAAAAAAGAAGAAGAAGAAGAAGAGGAGGAGGAGGAGGAGGAGGAGGAGGAGGAGGAGGAGGAGGAGGAGGAGGAGGAGGAGGAGGAGGAGGAGGAGGAGGAGGAGGAGGAGGAGGAGGAGGAGGAGGAGGAGGAGGAGGAGGAGGAGGAGGAGGAGGAGGAGGAGGAGGAGGAGGAGGAGGAGGAGGAGGAGGAGGAGGAGGAGGAGGAAGAAGAGGAAGAGGAGGAGGAGGAGGAGGAGGAGGAAGAGGAAGAAGAGGAAGAGGAGGAGGAGGAGGAATGTGGGTTGGGGGGGTGCTTTTTTTGTTGTATTGTATTTATTTTCCAATCATATTAAAAAGACAAATAACATATGACATAAGACGAAATGAAACATAACAGAATTAAAAAAAATAAATTACATGTGTATATAGATTGCTTAAAAATGATTGGCTGGATTGCCCGTTCAGTGTCATAAAAATATATGACACTGTTCTTCCTGGGGGTCCAGGTACAATTAAAAGAAACATTACGTAAATAAAATTTTTAAAAATAATGCACAAGCTTTGAAAGAACACAAAAAGGTATTCAGTTTTCTTGTAGAAGATTGTCTGAATGTTTTCCTGTGAATGTTGGTGTTACTTGCTACACAAATGTCTAAATAATGCTAACCTAGTAGGTAAAATATATATTGCATGGGAGAGGCAAATGAGAGAAATAAAGACAAAAGACAAAAGATAACAGAAAGTAAAACCAACAAAATAAAGTGATATTTCCGATGATGCAAAATACCTAATGAGATATGGCACCGGAGATTACCTACAAACAATTTTGCTTGTCATGCTATTTGGCTATTAAAGTGAAACGAGGCTTGTCGTTTCCTTGAAATTTGTTGTTGTTGTATTGATAAATGAACATACTGTACATGTAAACAAATAAAGTGGGAAATACACAGTTCAGAGGTTTTGATGATATGGTTTTAAATGAAAGAGAATCTAAACTTTTGTTCAAATCGAAGAGATATACACTGTAGTAACCGTAAATTTAACCATGACAGTAGACAAAGCATATCAAGCATTGCTCAGCAATTTTTTAGTAGTAGGGAGTTAACCTACGAGTGCAATGAGCGAGAGGCGTTGGATATTTTTCCCCGGGGAGGAAGTGATACAAGCCAAATCACATCAATTTCTTTGACCCTACATCGGAGCTGTAATTGAATTCTGTCGTTGGGTGGATCGGTTTTCCCGTGCAGGACACGTAGATTCACCTCCGCAACTCCTCCCCCTTCCCATCATTCCTTAGTCAATCAGGAATACATTTATTATCCTCTGTGGGATGGACATTATAATGTGATCAACATTGTACACATATTTTGCATCACATAGATTTACATCTGAAATCCTAAATATGAAATGCTACAAACAACTGAACTGCACATTTTATAGAGAATTCCTTTTTCCTTTGACCCAAACAATAATTTCAAATGCTGTTTGTTAGAGGGGAGCTGATCTTTTTAAAAATCACTCATGATGCTGCTGCTGAAAGCCAGGAGAAATTTAGCTTGTGTACATTTAGACATTGTTAACACTATAATACAGAGGATAATTATCAAACTTTTGTTTCCTTAAAAAAAAAATGAATATCAAACTCTACTCTCAATTGACTTCATAGGGGATGAAAGTACATGGTTACTGTACCTTGTGAGACATTGAAATCTTTTCAATACATTAATACAAACTGAAATTCAGTCTACTTTACAATTGCCTGCTTTCACAATGCAATAAAAAGTTCTGTCATGAAGAAAAGATTTCTCAAATCACCCTCCCCTCCCCCACATGGAGAAACCACAATGGGACATCAACAGGAAGATTCGGTAGACAAAAGAAATAGACACTATTATCTCCCATCTACTCTGATCTACGGCCCCTTTGGTTTCATATATGAAATAATATATGCTTTCTGTGGTTTAGCGTGCTTTGGTTACGACCATGGAAAATGTAATGAATGTTCACCCCCCTTGTTAAAGCGGTAATTGTATACCCGGTGTGTCAATTTCAGTATCAACGAGGACAAGCTGCCCCCAGGGGCTTCGTGACGCTCTCCCAGATGAAACAAACGGTCGCTCCCAAATCTACCCCAGTCTTTTTATCCAGTAGCTATCAAATTATGCTGCTAAGTGCTATGCGGATTATTGTCTATCAACTTTTGTATTTAATGTGCCATTATCGTATTTCATTTTATTAGCAAATTTCAGTTGTTTTATGGTCCAGGTAGTGGGCATTAGTAAGAATTACCCACACAAGGTACCTCTCAACCTATCATTTGATTAGAATCCACGTCATCATCTTATAATACTAAATACATGTATGTTGTTTATGGTAATTAAGTTTGTGCATGCTCTCAATCTGCAATATTACTACTAAAATGTCAAATTACATGTATGCATACAAAAGTTAATTAAAATATTGACAATATTTAGTTAGGGTGTATTTTTTGTCTGCCGGCATAAAGAATGTTTTGAGGAGAACTTATTTAAAAACTATTTTTGTCCCTCTCATTCTCTTTCATTCTAAGACCTGTTCGAGGCTAATTAAAATATTATTTTATTTGTTCTATTTGATTTTTGTGTATCAGCCTGAACTACCGGTAATGTAGTTTTTTAAAGAAGTGCTTAACTTTGTTTTCTTTTGTTTTTGTTTTTGTTTACAGGAAAGACTTCAATATAGCAGTGTTGGAATCATTCGTAGCTCTCCATGAGTTCAAAGACATGATCCTGGTACAGGCTCTAAGGTAAATATTAAGCCATTTTGATAGACATTTCACAGAGACATCTCAAAGATATACTTCATCGAATAGGATTTCATGAAGTTCCGTGTTCTGTATGGAATCCGTTGTAAATGTAGTTCACCATGTTATCAATGCATTGATTACATGCATCATGTTACCAGGAAATTAACTACACAACACAAGCTGTCCTTGGCACATTAAAGATCTGTGATCTCCTCACAAAAAATAACGTCCACCATTGAAGTGTTTGGCACTCATAATAACTACGTAACTGTACAATACCCAGTGAAGTATTTCAGTCATATGGATTCTGTCAGATGCAACCTATCCATATTCTAGAATGATAGAATGCAGATGTCTAAATTCATGGTAGTATTAAAAGTAAACTTGAAATCAAAAGCTGGTGTTCACATTGCGTGGCAGAGGAAAAAAAGCGTTAAGCAGTTGACATAAATGTAGGAGACATTATAAATACAAGCTCTTAGCTCACCATTTGAAATCAGTGTATTCTGTGTGTGCATAGTATTACAAGGAAATGAACACCATATTTCCATGGAACAGATTTTCATTGGCGAATTCTGAAGCGGTTCGAGAAGTATAATGTTAATTTTGCAAAACTTTGACGGGATAGGGAGTTTTTGCATTCATTTTCTACATCTTCCTTGTTTAAATTTATAATAAATCAAGAAGAAATTGGGAGGAGGAGGGGGGGGGGGGACTTCAGCTTTCCCAATCCCTCTTCCAGAATCAATGTTGATGTCATCTTTTATGTGTTATGACCCTGAACATGACTTCAACATGAATTCTGTAACTTAAGATCTACAGGACTCATATGTCTTCTATGCCTTGTCATGTTACATACTCATTATATCCATGTTTGTTTATGTGTATTATACCGCAAGGAATATGAGGCCATATGGCTCTTGTCAATTGCAAGCTTTCAATACTCAAAAGATGATAAAATACAGAAGTCCTTTGGGGGACGTGATAAACATGCGAACCTTATTACAAAGTCAAATGCAAGATGTTTTATTCGCCAGACAGCAATAAAATATAATTCAGTGAGTGTGTTTGTAATTTGTTCAATATACTGGATGCCAATACACATTCACTCAATCAGAAATCAAATCCTTATGTTTAGCTTTTGCGTCACACATTTTTATTGATTTATTCGTCTGTGCCAAGAAAAAAATAGTTTAGCACAGTGTTCATTGTAGCTTTGCAAGTTTGCAATATAGTGCACAAGCTCTTTAATTTCTCCCCTTGATAAGTTCTTACAAAGTTACCAGTTCAATTTGTTATGAGAAGTGTTGGCTCATTTTCTTGCTCTAAACCATGGACAGGAAAACAAAAATCCACAAACTAATTGTTTTGCTGTAGACCCCCAATACTGAGACGAAACAAAAATCTACAGAATCAAATTATAGTTGTCACTTTTTCTTTGTCACTTTTTCTTTATCCCTCTTTTGGCACATCACAACAAACAAGATATTTTTGTCTGTTCTTGAGAGGGCCTCTAATTATCAGTCTCATCTGGCTATTTTGTACCCTTAGCCCCTTATGCATAAGGTCAATCGGCAAATTGGCATCACCTCTGACGGAGAGTGTGACTGATTACTCAAATGCGGTGATTTTGGAACATTTTTGTGCAATATTGATGTTGATCAGTTACGCTCGACAAGGACTTGATTTCTTTTTTGACCTTCCTTATGAGAGATGGTTGCGTCTGATATGAGCTCGTTACTAGGCCAGCTGTCTGTGTATTTGATGAGAAATTATCTATATAGATGATCGCCTGAGTCAACGGGTCAAAATTACTCATTTATCCTTCAAGCTTTTCATGACTTAGATGTAATGCATGTACAGTATAGCAACATATATTGCTTAGATATATTATAATGTATTTTTACTTAAAGTGATAACTTTACCTCTTTGTAATTTGATAAATATGTACAAGCTGGGATATCACAACCAGAATTTTATAGGAAAAGGTAAATTCTGAAATGAATAGCAAGAAAAGTTTGATGTTTACTTTTTTTTCTTTCTTAATCAACAATTTCTGCTGATAAAAATGTAATGCTTTACATCATAACTACTACATGAATTGAATCTAATATAGAAATTGGTAGTGAACAACAATGCTCTGAAGAGAAATGGCATTACTCATGTACTCTGTTGATGTTTCATAGCATTTTCTAATGCCAAACACATTGGACTTATCTCTTTATTCATTGAGAGTATTTCTCTTGCTTTCTTTGTTTCTTGTGTGTTTCCAGGCAATTCCTGTGGAGTTTCCGCCTGCCTGGAGAGGCGCAGAAGATAGATCGTATGATGGAATGCTTCGCTAAGCGCTACTGTGAGACCAACCCAGGTGTCTTTGAATCAACAGGTACACATTTTTATCTGTAAATAATCATCTGACAACATCCTATTTTAAAGATAAGTTGGAGACCAGTTTCAGCTATCACACCTATATGAAAGATTGTCTATATCTGTACTAAAGGAGGGTTGTTCAGCTAAAAAAGGGCGGTAATTTTGGTCTATAAGTTTTTTAGAAGGGCTACATGGCCTAAATCGTCATTTTGCATGTGTCTCATTTTTCTTTATAACTTGTAGAGCGGGATATGCTTGTAAAATGTATAGAAAAGTCTGCTTTTCTTTCTGAATTACTCTTCAAGATGATTGTGACTGGTGATCCTTTCTTCTCTTTCATCCAGATACATGTTATGTGTTATCGTTTGCCATCATCATGCTGAACACCAGTCTGCACAACCCCAACGTGAAGGATAAACCCACGCTAGAGAGGTTCTTCCACATGAACAGAGGTATCAACGAGGGAGGCGATCTACCAGAAGACCTTCTAAAGGTATTCCTAGCATTCATGCCAACAACTTAACATTGTAGTACTTAAAGGGAGTGTAGCATGACGAGACTGTGTCTATCCCATGGCCTCACTCGGGGCTAATCAGGTATAATACAACTACGGACAACGCGACCGCAGTATTCACGTGCGTGCAACATACGCGAAACCGAAGTGTGTAGAGAACTCAGGAACACAAGCGCGCTGACCGTTAATGAAGTCCATTTGTTTAAGTGCAGTTGTCCAAAAGAAGTCGTGGATGGCGTTAACCAGTATTTGCCATGCTACACCCCCTTTAACTCGTCATCTGCAGCTTTGAGCTCTTGCTCCATCTGGATTTACATTACCAAATCTATATCTCTTTCTGCCATCTTTCATTTTCAAGATGAAACGGTCAGATTTCATGTGCTCTGTCTCCCAATTACCTTTTTTCTATCCTTTTCTTTTACCCACATGCTTCTTTCTGTCGATATCTCCATTTTCTTCTCTGGCTCTCTTTCTCCGACTCTTTCCCTTCATCTTGTAACTTTCTATGTCCGTCCATTTTTTTTGGGACTCTCCTTCTCTATAAATTCTTTCTCTATAACACTTTTATTCACATCTCTTGCCTCTCCCCATGTCTGTCTGTCTCTGTTTCTGTCTTTTACACACACTCTCTCTCTCTCTCTCTCTCTCTCTTTCTTTCTCTCTTTGTCTTTGTCTTTGTCTTTGTCTTTCTCTCTCTGTCTTTCTCTCTGTATCTCTCTGTATTTTTGTCGGTTTGTCCTCTCTCTATCTGCCTCTCTCTCTATCTGCCTCTCTCTCTCTATTTGTCTGTCTCTGTCTGTCTGTGCCTGTGTCTCTCTACCCCCCCCCCCTCTCTAGTTCTTTCTCCTTCTATCTGTAATACACTTGCCCCTCCCCACCCCACTTCATTTTGGCAGTAGCATAGCCTGTGAATTATGCTTGATCATAGTGACATTCTCATTCTCATTCTCTCTCTACAAGTATTACTGACACCTTGGGTTTCATCCAAGATGGAAGATTGGGACACAATCAATCTCTCTTGGCTCATGATTCTCTCAAAGCTTCTCTAGATAAAGTCATTTTTATTTTAAAAAGGGAAGAAAATCACAGCACGTGATCTAGTGACACATCTTCTACCGTAATTAAACTCTTTACTTTAACCCTGGACCAACAACCGATCCTACCCCTAAACATAAAACCTAACCTGAGATCCGGTTAAAACCCTAACCCTTTATCAAAATATAGCCTGTAGCAAATGTCGCGGAAGCAAAAATATTAGATCATCAAAATCATCAAAAAATCTCAATTTGTATTTGTTCATAAGAAATAACCTTGTTTTAGAATGAATCAAATCTTAATCTGTATTACACAAGAGAGTGATCTTCTCCAGTTTAGAAAAAAACAGAAAATGTATTGAATGAATGATTGATTGGGTGATTGATTGATTGATTGATTGATTGATTGATTGATTGATTGATTGATTTTTATTTGCCAAGTTTCCAACATACAACAATATACAAGAATAACAGATCAAAATTAAGTCAGCTTGAACAGGATAGCCCACGAAAGCTCGTGAGCTTATTTTCAGTGGGGTCCCTAATGATAATCTTAATGATAATCTAAACATCTGGCCTTGTACTTCGAGATGAAAGTGGTTGACGTGAATTGATTACCTTCCGATTTCTCATTCATTCCAACCCACATCCTTCCTTTGAATGTTATTCCTGAAAGGGGAAAAGTTTGGCGCAATCCCGAAATTGTAGGTCTTATCACCGACGTTTGGATATCCACGTGATGTCATGATTTTATCTTGGGACAAACCACTCGAAGGATGGAGGGAAAGGATGTTAGCTAAGGAGGGGTTGCTCCGATACAAACAAATTGTTAAAATGGACATTAAAAATAATTTACCGGTAATCACTTTTGTGTGCTCCCTGATTCAGCAAAACCTTGTTTTTTTTTATAAGATACACATTTTTCACAATATGCATGATTGTGAAAGTATCTATTTGAGGAGGTGTGAAGTGAATGGTTTTCATTATGTATTTCACTAGTTCCTTTTCATCTTGCACCTTTTTCATCTCAGTCAAACCAGGAATAGTCTGTAGGAAGAGTCATGCTCATGGTGAAATTAATTACACACACACCTCAGTTCTCAGTTAAATAAGGAAACACCCCTCTCTCTAATAATAGATCTTACTTTTGGCTATGTCTGAGAGCACAGGTGGAGGAAACCACTTTGGCACAGAGGGGTGTTCACCTCATCCTGTGGGATTATAATCATTTTTTTTAAAGGTGTATTGTCTAGCTTTCCCCAGGAACACCCCTGTACTCTGGGGCTTCCCTTGTGAAACCAAGGAGGGAAATGAGCGCCAGTCCTTCTGGCCAAATGTAGCACCTAAACCAGACAAGAATAAACCATCATTTCTTGCTCCTCACCTCTCGCTGATTATCTGTCATCGATTGACCCTTGTTCCCCCCCCCCTTTTTTTTCTTTCCTTCTTTTTCTCTTTCTCTTTGCTTTCCTTTTCACTTTTCTCTTTCTCTTTTCGCTTTCTCTCTTTCTCTTTTCTCTTTTCTCTTTTCTCTTTTCTCTTTTCTCTTTTCTCTTTTCTCTTTTCTCTTTTCTCTTTTCTCTTTTCTCTTTTCTTTTTCTCTTTCTTTTTCTCTTTCCCTTTCTGGACTATATGAATAAAGTCTTTGTAACATCTATTTATAAGTGGTATGATTTTTGTTGTTGTTTTGTTTGCTTGTTGAAAGTTTCCTGCAAACTATTCATATGGTTTGCAGGTTTCTTCTAACACCCCCTGCCCAATTCTTTCCCTCTTTCTCTTTGCTTTGCTTTTCTCTTTTCTCTTTCTGTTTTTTCTTTTCTCTTTCTTTTTCCCTTTCTCTTTCCCTTTCTCGACTATATGAATACAGTCTTTAAAACATCTCTTTATAAGTGGTATACATTTTGTTTTTTGCTTGTTGAAAGTTTCTTGCAAACTATTTATCTAGGCCCCATTTCACAAAACTTGTCATCAGTGACAAATGACAGATTTTGTTATAAACTAGTGAAATCCTTGATTCTGATTGGTTATCAGCAGATTTGTCACTGATTTTGTCATTTGTCATTGAATAAAAGCTCTGTGAAATGGGTCCATGGTCTGCAGGTTTTCTTCTAACACCGCTTGCTCGATTCAAAACATTGTTGCCATGTCCCTGAAATTAATCAACGCATCTCTTCTTCACTATTTTCTTTTTTGTAGAGCTTATATGAGAGCATCAAAAACGAACCGTTCAAGATCCCAGAGGATGATGGGAATGATTTGACGCACACCTTCTTCAACCCTGACAAAGAGGGCTGGTTGATGAAGCAAGGTAAGATTTCCGTCTCAAATTCAAGACGAATGATGAGGATTATCAGGGTTAGAATCACTCCAAATTTGAAATTCTTTACATCCTCCTCCAAAAAATATGTTGTTTAAATATCTTTATCATTTATTTATCACAAGATGATTTATTTATAATTTTTTGTTGTTCAGTGACACCATTTTGTTGATTTATCATCCAAGTTAATTGTTTTTAGAGTTATTCATCATTTATTATGTAGATATATTGCATGCTTTTAAAACTTATTCAGTTACACTTCACTTGATAGTCTCCCAAACTATAACAAAATGTGAAAAAAGGAGTATTTTTATATGCATTGCCACACTTAATTCCTGAGAAATATGCATATATAATATATAATATATTTTATTGCTGACATCAATTACTCACTAAATCTTTATATTCAGATTTCACAATAAGAAGACAAAATTATTGCTTCTATGATATATTATCCATGATTAATATTAACAAGACAGTGGTGAGAGGAATTCAAGTAAAAAATAAAACTGCTTCAATTAAATTTGATCCGTAGATATCTGGAGAATGGTTTGCAGTGATTCCTACTAACCAAACAAATCATATTCATCATTTTTTAACCACTTTCACTGTAGAAAGTCATCTCCTAAATTATATATACCAATGATGTTTCATTTTGTGATTACAACAATCTTTTGTGAGTCTTCTGGAATGTACCTGATGTGTTTTTGTCCCCAAATTCTAAAGTGGTCCATTTGAAAGTTTGATTTCAAGTTTTGGGATTAGTTATGACAGGGAGACCCTCAATTTGTAACAGTAGTAAAACAAAATTATCTTTTAAAAAAAAGGGGAAAGAAAAGAAAAGAAAGCCCCCATAACTGATTGAAATTTAAATCGCAAAAATTGCAGTTGTAATCTATTTCTAGCAGTAATGTTTTTCAATTGAAAAACTAACAAATACAATTGATCCTAACAACCGCACAATAGAAAACATGTGTTGGATTCCCTTTGTACTATTATACAGCAAAAAGTAATTCAATGTTTCTAAAAAAAGGGTATGTTTTGGCCATAAAAATGTTTGAGCTATCAAAATTATCATCAAATGACATTTTTCAGGGGGATTTTAGGGAAGGTAAGATCTGGGGAAACAGAAAGAAACAAACACAGAGCAAGCCAGTTAGCAAATTGGCAACTCCTTTTCCGGTCTGATGCATTGTTCTTGAAAGCTCTCACTTCCTAGCTTCCTCGTTCTATTCAGCTTATTTCCTGACAGTATTTAAAGAGAAATAAAGAGAGTAAAAGAGTTATGGGTTATTAGATGACAGATTTTGGCACCTAGTAGTACCGGGAAACACTTGTGCTGCTCTCAAAATAGTTCTGTTAAAGGTAGAAAACTAGCAGAAGTAACAAACTGAATCATTTTGCAGTTGATATAAGTAATCAGGATAATTTCTGTAACATATTGCAGTTGGCTTTTAAGTTGCTAATGCACTATTTGAATTACAATAAGTACACACTAAGCACGAGAAGGTTAGGTTGGGCCCAGTCCCTATGTGGTGCAAATAATACGGTTTGAAATGGGTTGATCATGTGCAATGCAGTGCAATGTGTTACATGCATTATGTGTATAAATACAGGCAACCAGACTGAATATAAATCAATTTTCATCAGAAATTTTCTCTCATTCTAAATGTTGCATGAGATGATCCACTTTTTATATCAGATTAGATTAGAGATGATACTTTTTAAAAATGTAGCCCCTTGCTACATGACATGTACATGTGACTTTCTGGCATTTTGGACTCCTTTTTCCCATACATTTTCAAAGTCAAAATTAGAATGTGTTTCAGTTGCATGGAACAATCCATTTTTTTCATAACTTTTACACAGGAATTAATTTGATTATTCTGGGGGTCATTACAAGACATTTCATTTTTAATTCAGTTAAGAAGAAACTTTTAAAAACAACACAATATTATGTTTTGATTTCATTACTTTCTCATACATTTTTTAAGGTTTTGCTTTTGACATAACAACCAAAAATTATGTTTTGATTTTGGGTTACTTTCTTATTCATTAAAGCTTTTGCTTTCGACATTTTGCTAACAATAACATGTTGGTATTGAATTTTCTTTTCCGTCATTTGTAGCAATTGCAACATAATGAATTGTTTATATATTCAAAATTTTACAAATAGAATATAGACATTGCATTCTTTTGGATTTCTCAAATGGGATCTTGATTTTAGGACAATAATTGATTGAAACAAGTTTATTAATTGTCCAGAAAATGATTCCCTACATTATTCACCAATTATGACTTTTTCTTCCTCTCTCTTCTCTGCATACATGTTTCTCTTTCCTTTTTCCCCAACTCGTTTATTGCCTGCCTGCGACCCACATGCATACCTACACACATTTGCATGTGTGGTGGTTCCCTGTCTTAATTTTTTGGGGTGCGGTGTGACAACCCTTAGGAGGTCAGTGCATTACCCACAATGCCGTTTTACCGCGGATTGTGATTTACCTTCCTCTCTCTTCTCCTCTCTCTTCTGTTTGTTGGTTTTTGCCGGAAACTTTTGACGATATCGTGACTTGCAACGTGTTCGTGTTTGTTTTTTTGTTTTAATCGTTGGGTGCGAGGGAGCATGTTATTAATCTTCTCGTTTTCATCCAAACTCTCTTCTTTGCCTTTGTGTTTTGTTTTACTCATCATCTTTATGCATACTTTTTAAAATCGCTCTGTCAAAAAAATTGAAGAATAATAAGCCCTTGATTAGTCTGTTCCTAAGCCCTTTTGTTCTTTTTGCTAGCTTCTCAACTTCAGTTATTTAATTTTGCTCATTTCACTTTTGTTTTCTCACCCTTTGATTCCCTACACCATTTGTTTTACATTCTCTGTTTTTCCGCCTTAGAAAGAAAAAAGTAGTTATCACTCTTTGCTCTTCACCACCATCTTTATTTAATTTCTGGGTGCATGCTGTGATTAACAAAGTGGTGATGGGATGAATTCATTTAATTATTTTTGCAACTGCATCATATGATTTCTTTTCAGTTTTATTTTGAGTTCTTATGATGCACAGGAAGTTATTTGACATCATTGAGACTTTAATAATTTAATATAAAAATAGAGGTGCATATACATTTAGAAATGGTATAGATTAATTTGTTTCTAAAGTTACAGTTAAGACAAATGTTCTTGTATTAAAAGTGTTTTGGTATCGTAGTCCAAGCTGAAATGATGTTCATTGTCATGTTAACATAAGATGTTTTAATGTTGTTGTAATGATATTTAATATCTGCAATCTGCATTGAAGTGATGTAGTGTTTGTTTAACAAAGTCCAATAAACAGATGAGGTGTATCAAAATTCCAGTATGATTTGATAAGACTTTACACTACTCATGTACATGTATATCAATTTGTACATCAACACAAACGTTTTATCATGATATATGATGTTTATTTTGACAAAAGAGTTCTTAAAGATCAAATGTTTGATTATTAAACTGAATTTGAATAAGATAAGGCATGTAAGATAGTGTATGACATATCATATATCTGTAATGCATATGGTAACAACTTAGATTTTAAAGGTAAAGATCAGTTCTGGTCATGCGATTGCATTGTGAAAGAAATGGTGTGGAATCGATCAGAAAAGGTTGATCATCTAGCATATAAGTATTGGTGTGTACTGCAAGGATCTGGAATCATCAAAATGATAAGAAATTTGGCCCAGTCTTGGTAAAGTTACAAGCACTGTACGCAGAAAGATGTATATGGGACTACGCGACACTTGCACGATATCTATCAGGTCCAAATTTATCAATTAGTAGGCGGTTTCTCGGCAAAATTTGTATCATCACATATTAGTCAAAACATATTCTTTCACATATTGGTGATAAGAGCTTCCATTTCATTTTTTGAGAGGGGGGGGGGGGGTTCCAAAACTGGTCTTTACCTTTAACTTCAAATGTGCATACATGTAGTATGTATGGTTCAAAGCTTCATATAAAGAGAGACACTTGGTTGGCTTTCTGATGATTTGAAAAGTGCCAGAATCGATGCAGACGAGACGAGATGGGATATTGTAGCAATCAATCGTCACGACAACCGTAAGACAGTTTCGCCGATGACGTCATGCCACCTTGTTTCCTGTTTGTTAATATCCAGCCAAATTGCACACAGAAAAAAACAGATGTTCTATTGACAAAGTTAATGATGGATGAGAAGAATTGTCAGTACGTAGGCACATTCATTCGCTCTCTTAAATCTTACACGCCATATGAAATGTAGCAAAGAGAAATATAAGATTTTTTTCCAGTTCATTGGAAAATCTACAATCCAGGAAATAAAAAAAAAATGCTCCAATGAGCTGAAAATATCTCATAAAATTTTAGATTTCTCTTCGCTACATTTCCTATGTAGCAAAATATAAGATTTGATGATATATTTTCAGCTCATTGGCAACATTTTTTATTAGCTTTCTAAAAGAAAAGGTTTTAGGAATCTACCATCCAGGAAGTGCAAAAATATGCAAGCAGTATAAAAAATGTGTCATATTTTGACGCCTTTGTGAAATTTGTAAAGCTGCCTAGAGTTTGGCAAGGAATTATTCAGAGGAGAAACTGAAGAAGGGCATATTGTCTGTTTGGAGCCAGAAGGGCGTTAACTCATAATCTTTAAAGGGATCGTTTAACAATGTTAAATCTGAGATACACGGCCCTACGTGTTATCAGTGTCTGTGATATGGTGTGATATTGAAGCCCTAAAAAAATTGCGCTTCAAAATGATCAAGAAGTGCCTCAAAAAAGTAAAAATCTTTGAGTGACCGGTTTTACCATACTCGTTTTCCCCAGTAGACTGTAGTGTTATGAAAACCATCAGGCAAACGGTTTTCAAAGTTTGTAATTCCAATCATAAATATCTTGATAATCAGACAGGCGATCGGCTTGTAAAAGTCATGGGGTTCTCCTGACTGACCTAAAGGTTTATAATTATCATTGCATCATGAG